ATCGCGGTTGGTCAGTGGTAATTACCACGAGGATTTGGGACCAGTGGCGTCATTCTGGCGTCAGCAGACGTGAAAATCCGCCATGTTTTTGGCTTCACCTTTTGATGCCGAGCACTTCCTCCAGTTATATTATAGCTCAGTGGTTGAGCCGAGTCAGCAATCTAGGTCTCCTATATCTATGGTCTAAAACTATCCTTATATATTTACCATTATCCCTTAGTATTCAACCATATATTCAACACTGTGCCTTTGTATTCTACATTATCCATTGTGATTCAACATGATCCCACTACATTATCCCTTTGCATTCACCAATACTCGTTGGTATTCAACATCATCTATCTATATTCAACATTATTCCTTTGCATTCATAAGTATTCCTTGATATTCCACATTATTCATATCTATTCCATATCATCCTTAAACATTCAACATTATCTCTTGGCATCAACAAATACCCCTATATATCCCACAATATATCCCTCTGAATCAATTGCTACCCTTTGCAGTCTTCATTACCCCTAACATGAGCCCTGAATGAGCACTATTCAGCAGTCTTCCCAATAAGTTTACTTATAGTACAATGAATAAAGGCAAAGAAATACTTGATCCCAAACGTTGGGCTATATATCAAATTGAAGCTATTGAAAATTGCTATTCGGTGCGGAAATTTCAAGACTTCAGCGAAAAGAAAAATATTTAAAAAATACAAAAACAACTGCAAAATGGCAAATTATCGGCAATTATTTTTTTAGTTTTTCAATATTTCCCTTTTAGCTAAAGTCTTGAAATTTCTACATCAAATAGCAATTTTCAATAGCTTCAATTTGATATATACCCAACGTTCAGTGTTCAATGAGTATTTCCGCTCATAACTCAGAAAAACTAAAATGCACTGGCTTCAATCCCCCCCTGAGTTAGCCTTCCAGTTTATTTGTTTATTTATAGTTCAATGGCGCAACCTCGTTCCCAGGCTCGTAGAGGAAAGAGCCTGGGAACGAGGTTGGCAAAGGCGTTTCTATTTTCGCGCCTTTTTTGAGCGCTCTCGCTGCGGAGACAGAACCACAGAACAACTAAGGCGTTTCGTTTGAGAAATATTTTATTTTTTGTTGTTAATACATTTGTATTGTATTGTATTTATAAAAAGATGAATGTTTAGAGAAGAAAGTTTAAAGTTAGCTTGAAACCAGGTAAGTAGAGTACTCAGAAGTAGATTAAAAGTACGTTTAGGCCGAGGGAATTTGAGTCATAGAATGCCGGCCTTATGATTTCAAAAATAGATGAGGCTTTTTTCATTATTCATTATTTTTAGAAATGTGTTAAAATTGGTCGAACGTCAATAGACCCGTTCAGTAATATACTAGCAATCTTTAAAACTAGGCTCTACACTTTTGCCTAGCGAGTTTAACTCCTTAATTAAAGAAAATCTCAGTACAGCCAATATATAGCCAATCCACAAAGATGCAAGCAGTCATTACTGTGATATTATTTCCAAAAACATATGCTATTAAATTTAGTTAAAAATACCCACCTTTTGTTTCTCCCAAAGTCGGGTTTATTGGCCGACCACATCAGAATACTTTTGGAACACACACATCGTCGATAATCGGCTTATATGGCGTTGAACAGTACCTACGTGTGGAGTTTTGCCGTACAGGTAGACTTTACCCTTAATACATGACTTCTGCGACGAGTTATAGTTTAAAGTATAGATAATTTTTCTGTGTTGGTGTTGTGTAGTCGGGTGAATATGATGCTTGTGTTGTTACTCTGAGTGTATATCCAAACCGGGCAAGGCTTGAAACATATGCCCGGCCACGGTGGGAATCGAACCTACGACCTTTGGAATACTAGCCCAATGCTCTGCCAACTGAGCTACGTGGTCAGGTCGGTTCGAGTATGGTTCGAGTGTGTGATATTTCGGAACAGAATCTAGTTCCTAGCTCGCGCATTCAGAGCATTGGGCTAGTATTCCAAAGGTCGTAGGTTCGATTCCAACCATGGCCGGGCATATTTTTCAAGCTCGCCCGGTTTGGGTATACACTCAGAGTAACATCACAAACATCGTATAGATAATTCTTGAAATAATGAAAATTCCATGGTTGCCCATGAAATGGACTCATGCATTACACACAATGATTAATCAGGCCGATTTAGCCCGTGATTTAGCTTTGCGTAAATGATATTTGAAAAAAAACACCAGTCAACGTCATTTGATATTTGAATGAAATTTAATCCCTTCGCCTGGAGTTACATGCAGTGTGACACGTCTGCCAAGAATACCAACTGGCACTTGGTTTGCTGTTTGAACCCTGCCAGTTTGCTTGGCTTGCAAAACAGTCATTACTGTGCTTCGCCAGACTGGAAAATTTGCTTTGCGCGGCCAGGATCTCGGTACCTGACACACGGTCAGAGACAAATTTCAAATGCTTCGCACCGCGGACGCGCAGAAATATGGAGAACACTCAGAATGCATGCAAAAATAACTAAAAATGGATATGTCAATTAATTGCGTGATAAAGGATGTAGTGCTTCAAGAGACAGTGGTGCTGTGAGGTCTTCGCTACCACACTTAGGAGGTCTTTGTTACCACACTCCCTTAAATAGTCTGTAAATGTTTATTCACAGCCAACATGCTTTTGAAACTATTACAGGGAGAAATAAGAAATGTGTATGTTTGAGGCTTTCAGAAATATTGGGGTGGGGGGGGGGCAGTTGCCCCCAGTGTTTGCCACCATTTTGTATTTTTATCTGGGCATGTATATAAGATGGAAATATGATTGGTAATAAAATAACTTTATTGTTCACATCCTATTCCTACTATATTTGGCATTGCACAGCTATGAAACAAGGTCTATGTTAAAAAACAAAAAGTATATATTTATATTTAAATGTTATTATTGGTTTATACAAAAAGACTATTAAAAGTTCCTTCCTACTTATTTAATACTACTTGGATAATCACAAACAAACTAACGTTAACATCATTTATGTATCATGAACATTTTTCTTAAACATATGGAATATGAATACTATATCAACAGGCATTATTAACAGTTGAGAGCGCACTTTTTGAACTTGTGCAGGGAAATTGTTTAAAAATTTTTATTTGTTAGCAATCTTTGGCTTACAAAAATCTAAACAGGAAAAGTTCTATTATATATCTGGTCAGAGGCGCATTGACTATTATTAATGAGACCTGTGTAACGAATTAGATACTTGAAATATAGTCATATAAATCTTACTTAATTTGTAACAATTTATCAGTTTCTGGTGATGGACCCTCCGCCTCAGGTAAACTATTTCGACCATCATCAACTTCTGGTGATCTACGATCAGCTTCGGGCAGGCTGCCATATCTTTCAACGTCTTTTTCTGCAGGGTTGTATTCATCATTATTATCCTCCGATGCTGAACTCAAGTTATTATTCAATAACTTCATGCACTCCTCGGTAAAGTTATCACTGACCTTTAGTGTACCAGTGTCCTCGTTCCCAGGTCCTCCCATTGAAACCTCGCTGCTCGACTTTAGCATCTCTGGAGGAATAATACTGAAGCGCTGAGGTTCGTTTTCACTGAGTGTCACTTCGATCACGGGTAGAGATTTCTTGGATTTCTCGAAATTCTTAGGTTTCTCGGAGTTTTTGGAATCTTTAGAATCATTCCACATGAGTAGATTTGTATTGATAAAGGGCGTCGCATCTTGGTCACCGAAATGCGACATAGGCCGGTTACTGCAGTCATAGGGGTGTTTCCTAAGATACTCGTTACGCTTTTTGAGATAATGTGCCAACGCGACCAAACAAACAGTAGCTATAAGAACAGCTAGGACACTCGAGATAATTATTGGAACTTTACTTGAACTGTCTGGCGCGTGTTTTTTCTGTGTTGCTTCGACTTTTGTTGTATTGGTATTGTTTGATGGAATATGTTGTGTGCTGCGCTCGGTTATAACATCTTTGTCCTGCAAAGTTGCACGTACTGTAGTAGTTTTAGGATAACCAAGAATTTCATAAGAAAATTTTATTCTCCACTTAGGATTGTAAGTTCTAGATTTGTATTTGATTTTCATAAATCCGTTAATTGACGTAAACACTTTGCGTTGTTTTGCATCACAATATTTCTGGACAAGTGTCTCTCCTTGGCTTCCATGGTGAATTATGATCACGTCAGCAACGCATTTGGTGCCGACCTTTCTGGTATTATTACTTAGAAAATAATCCAGTGTCAGTTCAATGGTGTCATTATCCCGAGGGGCTGTTATAATCCAGCTATAGCGGTAGATATCTGAGTAGCCAGTGTTTGGTAGCACGACTTGCCCAGATGTTTCATTGAGTGATTTGACAACAAAGCTATTGACTTGAATGTTAAAACCAATATCGCTTGTGGTTGCGTTTGTATGATAATGCAGCCAAAGAGATCCGCCTTCGAATATCTGGGAAGCAACTTTGCCTGAATGCCCGCAATATCCCTCCACAAGGTTCTCGTCATTGTTCGGGCTGCGTGTCCCGTCGTACAAATCTAACATTCCGCTCTTGCAGAATAATTTGAAGTATGAAAACTTTAGTTGTAGTTTGGTCGCGAATTTTGACTTGATTCTCCACAGGCAGTTTAATTCTTCGACGTGTTCGCTCGCGCTGGGTGGTCGGATCAGTGGTGCATCGTGGGTAATTAGTCCGCCACAATTGTACTCGCAACCGTACAATTGTACTTTGAAACACGCACGCGCAGTATAACTCGTCGGGTAGACTCGAATATGATGCGCCACGAGACGAGACTTGAACATATTACTTACTAAACGAGTAGCGTCGACATTCCCAGCTAATTCGTCATCTGAATATGAAAACCATATTTCACGGTCGTAGCTATATTTTATTTTATATTTCTTGACATAGCCATTGGCGTCACCCTGCATTCCGATGCCAGTTAACTGTACAAAGTTTTTAAATGAAATTTCAACATACTTGCTCCCATCTGACGGCTGTGACACGCACCACGCTGTTTTTGTCGCGTGAATACCTGACGTTATATTAGCAACACTTGATCCCGACTCTCCCTTTCGATTGAGTAGCGTATAAGAACAACTTTGACACTGACGGATACGTTTTGATAGTCCAGAACATCGACTCGATATTTTACTATTCTTGTCAAGACATTTTCTGAATCGTGTTTGTCGGGCAATGTCGTATACATTACAAGCACTCCACGAACTCCAGCTAGACCAAACATGCTCAGATGCGTCGATGACTGACTGTTGAGTCGTTACAAAGAAAACAACAATCGATAAAACAGAGAACATTGTGTTGAAATGAAGTCTTCTTATCCTTCCAATATCGGTCTCTAAGGAGCAGCTCAATGTATTGTGACTGCGGTAACAACACTGAGACTACACATCAAATGTGATTCGAGATTTTCACACTCGTTGATTAACCCTGGCACTTAACCTGTCGTCAGGTTCCTGTCAAACAGCTTTGGTTGATTAAATTTTGACCTCTTGAGGTTAATAACTCTTATCGTATATTTGTTTTTGATTTGTCGCTTCTTGTTCCGCACATTGATTGTATTATACATCCGACAGTATGCGCTCCTGGCTTAAGTTCAAACACAACATTTGATTAGAATTTGATGTATGTTTCCACCCTAATGATCACCCACTGTCGTCATCAAGACTTGTATCCGTCTGTCGTAAGCAGCACGTATATTTTACGTGTCTCTAACCACAGCTCTAACCAAGATACAATCGCATCTAAAATATCTTGTTTTAAAAATCCTCAAATGGGCTCAAAAGGATTAAGATGTGCCAAAATCGCATTTCCTCTTCTATCTGCCTTTTGACGGCATTAAACAGTCATGGGAAAAATGACTGTGTCTGTAATGACTATAAATAGCGTTATCTTCTCTGTGGCTAAATCATCAGACTTTATCATTTAATAAGACTCGAGTAATCAGATCATTATGCGTGTGTTAGTTTAGTGTCGGATAAATCCTTTCTCGTGTTTTGTATTTCAATTAAAAAACCATAGGCATCATTAGAACCATATAACACTTATAGAATTAGTAAACGAAAGAACTGTGGAACTATGCAGAACCATAGGACTATATGGGAATATCACAGTCCTCGCAATTTTGATAAATCCTCGTAGAATTTCCAATTAAGTTTGCCGAAAATTGCCAGGACTGCTGTAGAGAAGCACAGAACTGCCACTGGATGAAACCATAAGACTATGTAGGATCATATAACTTATAATTTAAGCATGGAGCAATATTCCATGAAACTATAGAAATGGAACCTCGCAGATTAGGAACTGGAATGATAGAGCAAGTGCAGTAGAGAACTACAGAACCATAGAACTGCATAAGAAGTATAACTATAGTCGATATTTTAGCAAAACCACTTAATGTTTCTAAGCTTGATAGCTAATTTCCTTGGTATTTGGCACGAACATGGTTTTATCACACTGCACGGAATGGCATTTTAAAGACAATCGCCACAAATGATGAGCTTATAATTTTACAAAGCGTTCGGAATGTAAGATATGTGATCTTCTCGGGTATTTCAAACGGATTATCTTAATAAAGTCCCGACAACCTGCTTATACCGTACTAGACACGGTGATATCAAAATGATAAACTCCTTATTAAGTCGATAAAACACTGGATTGAAGTGCAGTTTCTGTTTAATTGTTGTTTTTTGCTATATCTTATTAAAAGCCTCGTGAATGAAAAATAGCTCTGACGAATCATGAGATTTTTGAATTATTTTATACAAACCCGCATAATTTGAAGCAGTTACAGCATTTGTGAAGACATGTATATTTTTATGTATAAAACTAGTTAGCTTTTGTGTGTAGTTTAACAACTACATGGATTTATACCTGTATCGATTACTGTTTTTTATGTTTATTATTTGTTGATTTAACCACATTGAGTTTGTGTTTGTCTGGCGTGTAGAGCGTGCTGGGTACCTATTGCCTCTATATACACTGTATCTAAATAAACATGGCAAGATAAATTCTCACACACTGGCCTTTTAACCAACAATTATAATAGATGGGAGGATGATAATAGGAGAATATAGCGGAAATTTGTTTATCATTGTCGTCCTTTTAATGAGTTAATTTAGAAAATGAACACCCATACATAAATACAGACAATATAGCCTTGTCTTGTACGTGGCTCAGCCTTCTTGGCCTCCCTGCCTCGTAGGTAGGCCTATATACGTAAAACAAGTAAATAGAATAATATAGAAGCAATTATTTTAACATCGTTTCCGTATAAACCTATTAATAAAATGGTAAGAATGTGTAATTTGTCACAGGAAATGCACACAGAATGTGATAAAGACTTTATTTACACATTCACATTAAGAAGGAAAACACTCGGTTGCATTTCCGAGAGGTGAATAATCTGCCGTTGGCGTTATATACATATGTTCTTTGTCTAATTGAAGTGATCGTGTTCGCTACAGTGTCAAAATACTTTTAAATAATACTGCCAAGTTCCAAGAAGTTATTGAAATCATGATTTGTACGGTGCAGCAGCTGTATAAACATATGAGTAACAACGTTTTCCTCTTCGTCCAACTTCGGGAGTCATGTGACAAACGGTTTTGCCCAAACACAAGGCTAGGAAACATCCTTGTGTTCTATGGTGGAAGGTTGGGTTCGATACTATGAAATATGCGTTTTGAGCCTTTCTAAGTCGGTCTGTGACGAAAAAGACAAACTAAGCTTTTGTACCTCAGTCGGACTCAATAATTCGGGTAACGTAATAAAATCCGGGCAAAGATTAATTTGCATACGGCTGATACTATGAAAGCCATCTGTCAATGGTTCACTGAACTATTCAGTATTGCGCTAAACAGTGAATTTTTATCGACAGACGGTTAAATGGTTACACTTTTTTCTGACCATCTGGTCCATATAATTGGTAACTTTTGAATCTTTCAAAAAGTGGCTATTTAAAATTTCTATGGACTAAAAACTCTAACTCCTTTACGTTTTTACCGTTTTTGGGCACTTTTTCGAAAGCAACGTTGAGAAACTTTTATAATCTCCAATTCTCCACGATTCTTACCGTATTTCTAGTCGGCAGCCGTGAAGCCCTGGGAACGAGGTCACAGAATAAGGTACACAGAAGGTCGACTCGAGTAACGCTGCCACGCCATGATTCATCATCAAAATGCTGACGCCATGGTCACAGAATAAGAAGTTATACCAGAAGCGTAACTCTAGTCGTTTCCCCTATTGTTTGACGTCCACGAAAATTTTTAACTCGCTCACGTCAGGCCACGCCATCCTGGCTAGTACAGCCGGAAGTTTTTATCAGGATTTGGTAGGTAC